ATTTTTAAAGAGTTTAGCAAGGAAATGGCATTCATCCTTGTACTGAAATGTGTTATATAATACAGATCGACAGCTCAGAAGTAGAGGATTTGGATGGAAGATGAGAGGGTCCTCTTTCTCCGTAGTTTACATATTCGTGTCCCTGTTGTATTGCTTAGTTTTTAAGTGCATTCGAAGGTCAGAAAAGCATGCTGTGCCTTAGTTTCTACACCTGAAAATTGGACGTGTCATCTATCTTGTATGATTGGTTTGGCTGAATGAAGGTCTATAGGTATAGGAAACTCTGAAGTCTTGATGAAAGAATATTAATAAATGTGAAAGGTTACAGTGGTTATTGGGATTACAAAATGAGATTTCTCCTTTCCACAAGGACTTGAGGAAGATAGAGAAAACCATTGTTTCGTACTGCTGATCTTAAAGGAGTTGCTTTGGGACCACTAGATGCTGGGAAATGGAACACTTTCAGGGAAAGGGGCATTAACAGTTTTGTTATTTTAAGTTTTAAAGTTACATATGAGAGGGTGAAAGAGGAGTTAAATTCCAGGTGCTTTTGCAATCCAGTGGGTTTATTACATCCAAAAGGCTGCGGGATCAGGCTGTCGACTTCTGCCTTTCGTCTCTGCTATAAAACTGATGTCTTTGTGCTTTAATTCATCACTGCCTGGGTTCTTCAGGGTAATAAGAGATAGAAGAGAAACACCTGGTCCCCATCTCAAGGGTATTTCAGTCATATTTCCCATCCACACTGTTAGTTCAGCTTTGAGGTCTGTGCTGCTTAGAGTGGCCCATCTTTGTTCTGCTGTCAAATGCCCCCAAACCAAAATCCGTTCACCTGACGAAATCATGGCTCCAAAATTAAAGTTTTCCTCCTTCTTGCTTTCCCATTCTTTGCTTAATACCACACACACCCAAACTCCTGCCCACTCGGACCATTGGAGGCAGGAAGAAAAATCAAAGAATGGGTGTGATTTCATCACTCAGGTCTGATACCTGCTCCAGGCAGCTGCTAGTATCTGGCCTCCAGCCTGGACGTTAAAGGTACCGTCAACCTGCACTACCCATTATTTTAGGGCAAGAATCACCACCATTTGGTTTTCTCTTCTGTTGTGCATTTTCTCTTTTCTGTGCTGCTATTCAGCATCAAATGTGTTTCTGTTCCATAAATGGAAGCTTTTCCTGAAACTTTGAGGCTGTGTCCAAATCAAATGAACTTACGGTTTCCATTACATCACCTTTAACTTGAAAAATATTTTCTTTGCCGTAATTTAGCTTTTTACATCCAGCGTACTGAGATATTTCATGACTGACCACACATGTTAGATGCTGAACCTGTAGCTGTTATCATCATTTTATTTAAGGTGTAACGATTCAATCTCAGTATTTCAAGTTCCTGTTGTTCCCAGGGACAGTATGCCCTGTGCTTTTCAATCTTGAATCACCCAGGGGTAGTCTAAGGATGCACTGTGCAGGTTCTCAGGGAAGAAAAAGCAAATGCTACACACTACTGCTCTGTAGTGTGTAATTCCAATTTTATTTGGGAGTTTTGTGGTCATAAATAGCTCCATATTTTCTTGAAAGCATAATTCACCATGGACGTTTTAATATGTAAAGCACTCCCTCCTGGAAAGTTACAGACATGAATCAAAATGCAATCATAAACCCCTCAAAGTCATGTAACAGAACAACAGAAAAGCACTAAAACAAAGGTATGACATTTATTTTTACCAAAGCAGTAAACATGAGAAGGGTCTATAAACTTCATTCATCTATGTCCTCCTTCTGAGACCTGTTGCTCTCTGAAACATTTTCATACATCCAGCTCCTTTCCTCTGTGCTTTACTTATTTTAAGAAAACATTTTGGATTGGCACCTTTGGTCTGTCATTTGTAGCATGTGCCTGAGTCCAGAACCAAAAAATTGGCATATGATTTGTGATTACCCATAAAAGTCCATGAGGAGTATACCATCACTAAATCGGTTCATAATTGAGAAACTGAACCTTAAAACAACTGAGACCTGGAAACATGTTACATCAATTTTATGACAATTAAAATGAATAATTTTAAGCTATTTGTGCATAAAGTCTACTGCCATAGGTGCTATCAAAATGTTGAGACCACATGAAAAATACCTTTCTGAAGAGTCGCTGTAAGGAATGGTGTTTCTCCTCAGGAGTAGCGGGAGCACGCTGTCCATTTTGCCCCTCCTGCCACACAACTCAGAGCCACACTTGAACCTAAGTCAGAATAACTATGTGAATAACTATGTGAATATATGTAAACATAATCCTGATAAGTCATTTTTCCTGATCATGGTTTTTACTTACATAAGTATTGTCTTTCGTAATGCCTTTTTGGTCACACGAACAAAATCGACTTGCTCTGTATGGTTCCTGATCTCTTGATTTTAGTCTTAACACCCCTGGATTTATATGTTTTTGCTGTGAGTCATGTGAGAATTATGTGGGAATCAAGTGGAGTTTAATTAAAATAAATGTAATTATTTGCTTGTAATCCTCAACCTGCAAGAAATTTAAATAGTGATGACTCACCTATGATGAAATTGGGAAAAACTGATCTATCAGTCACACCATCCTGTTTGAAAATGTTTTTATCTATTTAAAATGGCATCAAACTACAAAAATATTGTTCAGCCATCCCCTCCCATACACACACTCCGTCTTCAAATTAATTTTCTTTCTAAAGAAAAATTCAGAGAAGTGTTATCTGGATTTTTTTTTTTTAATTTCCCGATGTTTTCTATGAATGTCTGAGTCGTGTTATTGGAGATAAAATTCATACTTAATTAGAATTTATCAGACAGTTGTTATATATAGCTTTCGCTCAGTTCTTTTTAAGAGATCAAAATAGGAACTCACATCTGACATCCCACAATAGTTACTGAAATTGTAGCTAAAATGTTGATTTGGACAGCTGACTTTGTACTGCTTACCTTGCAAAGCAGGGTCTGGAAACAGTTCTGATTTAACCTCATTGTACTAATTACTGTAAACTCCTTCCATGAGTAGGATAATAATTGGCACACTAATTATTGCCCTGAAAGTGGCATAACTACAGTGAAACCGTTAGCTAATAATATATGATTGTCTTAAGTGTATGCATGTGTGCTGACATTTAAGGGGTTATCTGAAATTAAGCATTATCTATTATTCAATGACTGTGTGTGTGTGTGTGTGTGTGTGTGTGTGTGTGTGTGTATACACACATATATATACTAGTATATATAATATATATAAATAAAATGTACATATATAAAAGTCTTATTAAGATTGGAATATTAATCCTGTTGCAAAAAAGTGCTGAACAATAATTTTATTTTTTATTTTACTGAAATATAGTTGACATATAATGTTACATGAGTTTCAAGGGTACAATATAGTGATTCAACAACTCTGGATTATGCTGTGCTCACTACAAGTGTAGCTACTATCTGTCACCATACAGTGCTATTATATACCATTGATTATATTCCCTGTGCTGTACCTTTCCTCCTGTGACATTTATTCCATAACTAGGAGCCTGTACCTCCCACTCTCCTTCACCCATTTTGCCCATCCCCCCACACCCCTCCCCTCTGGAAATCATCAGTTCATTCTCTGTATTTATGGGGTCTGTTTTTGATTTTTGTTTGTTCATTTGTTTTGTTTTTTTAGATTCCACATATAAGTGAAATCATGTGGTATTTGTCTTTCTCTGCCTAACATCTTTCACTTAGCATAATACCCTCTAAGTTCATCCATGTTGCCACAAATGGCATGGTTTCATTCCTTTTTAAGCCTGAGTAATATTCTAACAATGATTATTGGGTCTTTTTTAATGTTTATTTATTTATTTATTTATTTATTTATTTTGAGAGAGAGAGAGAGAGCATGTACACAAGCAGGGGAGGGGCAAGGAGACACACACACACACACACACACACACACACACAGAAAGAGAGAGAGAGAGAGAGAGAGAGAGAGAGAGAGAGAGAGAACCCCAAGCAGGCTCAGCACTGTCAGTGCAGAGCCCAGCGTGGAGCTCTGTCTCACAAACTGTAAGATCATGACCTGAGCCAAAACCAAGAGTTGGACCCTTAACTGAGTGAGCCACCCAGACACCCCCAACAATGATTACTGGTATGCAATTTTCATAATATCTGAGCAGAAAGACATGGGACCATTGTCACCTGTTCTTTAGCTTAATACTGCCCTCAAATTATTGTCTGCGAGCTATTTTTTTTTTTTCCATTTTCTCATTTAGTCTTATGGTAATTTATGCTGCTTTTTCATCTCTTCAACTAAACTGAAGTCAGGAACTGTATTTTATGAAATCTCTAAATACTGCATGGAGACTAAGTCATGGTATACATAGACAGACAGACAAATCCACTTAAGATCCACCTGGATTTCACTTTGCAGTCATTATACCAAAATATGCCTTTGCTCAATTAGCTGGATTGCTTCATTTAAAAAAGGTAATTTTAAATGGCAGTAATCAGAGGCAGACTACCTGAAACTAACTACCTGAGAAGGGGATATCTTAGTTTCAAAATAAACTAGAACATTCAAAAGATGTAAATATATTTGAATATGAAGTTTTAACAACTTACACTTCAATATTCTGCCAATTGCTCCAGAATTGTTGGTATAGTTACCAAGTATCAGGAACCTAAAGGTAAACATATTTCAATATAATGTTAATCCATTGCAGTTTCCAAAAAGGTACATATGAATAGGTTTTGTACTGTGAGATGCCTCCACAAAATTCACACAGGTGAAATAACAGATTTGCAGACGGGGATATATTCTGATTTTTCAAAAAGTAGAAATATTTTCAAATGAGCTGTCTTACCTAGTGAACTAATTTTAACTTGTTGGTCATATTTCAAACAGAAAGTTAAGATTCCTCTTGGAATAGTAATAATGCTTTTATTGCGTTGAGTAGATTGAATCAGATGATAATAGTATAATTTGTAATGAGTTCTTATGTTTTCCATAGGTGGATAAGTGGAGCAGCTGTAGTCAATGCATTTTATTCTTCAGGCAGAAATCAGATAGGTAAGGTCTATTCCTAAACAATTCTTTAATATTTCTCTGTTGTTACCAACTTGTAGTGAATTGCATGACCAATTTAAAGTACTCCCCATAAAAGCACAGCAGAGGCCGAGTTATTGATTTATTGAATATATTCCTCAAAAGTAAATGCATCCATGTACCTCTTTTCACTGTAATAGCAAATTTTAAGTTAGTACAAATTACATTAAGTGGTTTTCTTTCTTTTGCAATGTTCTCATCTGTGGCTAAATGGTTTATCTTATGTCTAAGTACTTTTATTTTATTTCTGAATGCTTTTTAAATGTCTCTCATGTCTCCATCAAGTTATATTGACTTTAGGACTTTCTAAGCATCAGCATAAGTTTAAGGTTCCATGAACCAGCTTTGCAGCAATCCCACCCTCCAGGCAATTATGTATGTTAGCTCTGGTGGGGATGGTCCTGATCTCTATCACCCATTTTTCTGGAAGATTCCAAAGGTCTCAGAAAGTTGAAAAGTCAGTTATATTAGGTTGAACCATGTGAAATTATATTTGCTTAACTACTTTTAATCAAAAAAAAAACTAATATGTTCATGAGTAGTAATGTTATAGGAATATGTGTAGAAATGAATACATGAGTGAGAGGTATAATGAATAACTAAATGACTTAATAGAACAAAGATATATAATTTTTTCCCCTGGGAAGACTTTGAGATCTTTAAACTTTTTCTTAAGTATTACATAAATGGACCTATTTTTTCCCAAGGGTTTTAAATATGTAGAAAGGCACCCAACAGATTGACTACTATCAGAGGTATACTAAACAAACAGTACAGCCAGTGTCTCCAGGTGTACTTAGTCTAGCCCTTCATTTCAAAGTGTGGTCGAGAATGAAGAGGGGAAATATTTTCAGCATTATTCTCAAATAAAATCTCATGCCCTAAACCTCATTTTTCTTGAATTCTGTTACAAATTAGATTAGATATAGTGGAAAATCCTGCAATATTTTTTACCATTGGTTAAAAAACAAACTTTAAAAGAAATTATAACTCTGATTTTGTTTTAAAGTTCAATTATACCTTTCCCCCTTGCTTTTAAACCAAGGAAAAGTTAAATTAAGAAATTAGCTACATTTTCTTCTGGTATGTTTATGGTCTTTATTTTTGGAGTAAATCATTAGCCATCTGGAATTTATTTTGGTATATGACATGAAAATTAATTATATAAAATAATCAGAAAAGTTGTGTGTGTTTTGGGGGGGTTTTGGTGTGTTTTTTTAAATTAATTTATTTATTTAGAGAGAGAGAGACTGTAGGAGCAAGTGGAGCCAGTGGGGGAGGGGCAGAGAGAGAGGGAGAGAGAGAATCCCAAGCAGGCTGTATGCTCAGTGTAGAGCCCAATGCAGGGCTCATTCTCACAACCATGAGATCATGACCTGAGGTAAAATTAAGTCGGATGCTTAACCAACAGCCACCCAGGTGCCCCAAGACTTGTTTTTTATAACATATCAATAATAAGTAAGTCATATGCAGTTGGTTAAAATCAATTAGTTCAAAGTCTAGTCTAGTACATTTCCTAGCTGGTGCAATGATTACCTAAACCCAGACCAGAGTCTGTTTAATGATCAACTAAGAATACATGCAGTCTACCCTTTTCAATGTATTCCTAGAAACCATTCAGTCCTTTCTTAAAAGTGCCTTTCTCTCTGGAGAGCCTTCACTTTGAAGACCTCTTTTTGATATTCACTAGTTCTGTCAGTATAATATCTAGTTCATTATAGACTTGGAGTTAAACAGGATAATGAGCTTTTATGGAATTCCAAGGCAAAATGAGGCAGCCTGGACTTCAGTCTGTATTTGAGCAGACTAAAAGATACAGCTTTATTTTAATCCAGCTGAGGAAGGACCCTGGATCCTATCAGACCTGGTGCTGATTCATTCCAGCAAGAAGACCCATACAGACCTTTTGTAGAACCACTCTGGTATGATAATCCCTTCAGCCCCTCTCTAGAGCAGATCTACAGTTTAGGTCAAGGCAGGATCTTGTTAGGCTCTGAATTACCTCATATCCCTGGAGCTGGCTCAAAATTGGTTTACTTCAGAGGTTCCCTGATCAGAGAAGACCAGAGAATGTTCTCAATTTGAATTTGATACCCTCTAACCAAAGAAGCACACAGCAAAAGGAAAAAGGCAGAAGGTAAAAGTGGCCTAACATTTCACAAAGTAGTCAGTTATCCTCTGAATAATCAAGAATTGGCTACAATAAGCATTCTTAATAAGAAAGACCTTTTAAAGATTCTGAAGATAAATTCATCAGGTAGAAATTCAGTATCTGAAAAATTGTTAACATCTTTTCATATGCTTGTGTTACAATAACAGCAATTCAGAGGAAAGGAAAGTGTCATGCAAGAAGAAATCTTTGACATGTGTATGTTTTTTCTTTGACAATTCATTTAAATCTTCAACGTGGGGATTGTCTTAACTAAAAATAATTGAAGATCCAGACCTTCATCTTTCTTCTAGATAGAAGTGTGTGTGTGTGTGTGTGTGTGTGTGTGTGTGTGTGTGTCTGTCTGTCTGTCTGTCTGTGTATCTGTATACATACATAGATATACAACTTTTGATTTTGGAATTGCGCATTACAGAATTAGAATAGCTATAGAATAGCATGTGTCTCATAAATGACCCTCCTACCCTCACACAAATACCTTAAATTAGATCACATATAATTTCTCATGGGATTGGCCTTTTTATGTTATGGTAAAAAAGAACTTGTTTTATTATCATTTAGGGAGTTATCATATTAATAATTTCTTCTTTTTAATTCAACTCCAAACACTTTTTGTTCTAACTCACACAGGAAGACTCTATTCTGCCTTATGCACCCCTGCCAGTTTCCATCAATTTAAAAAAAAATCAGCTTCCCAGACAGGAAGGCATACTGAAAGTGTTTAATTCACTGGTTCTTATTCCCCACACATTTGCTCCATAGAGCTCCAGAAACCTCCCATGGATTATCTAGTGTATTCAACCTGGGTAATGTATGATGACATTGAAATAATAAATTTTCTAAAGTTACATTACTTGTTCTTAGGAATCTCATTTTCAGGCTTGAAAATTAAGAGCAAATGTTTCCAAACATATTGATATTCCATTTAACGTAAAAAATAATCTTTAACTTTTTTCCACCCCAAATTGATTTCACCTGATGTCATCAAGCTTTATACAAGATTCTAAAATTGAATTGCTTGCAGCCTTAAAAACATAAACCAGGGAAGCGAGGGCATGGGAGTTAGGAAGAAACACAGTTTTTTGTTTCATGGACCAGTGACTTATGTAATTAACTAATTGACAATCATGAATGTAAAAAATGTACAACTAAGTAATTGTTATCAACAGTTGTGAAGTCTATTGGTAATAGTGATAGGCTAATGGGGAAAATCCTCATCACTGAGATTTAGCTGATAGTGTAAAACAAGAAATCATAATTTGCAAAGCTGATCTTGAAGACTAGTATTTAATATGAACCATAAAAATATTATCACTTGCCTGAAGAATGACATATCAGGGTACAATTAAAGCAGCAGGATCTTTACAGTTAATGTTTAGTCTTGATAGCACATTTCATAAGAGCATTTTATATAACGGGTGGATTTTAATCAAAGTACATAGTGTGGGAGATAGTATTCACTTTAAGTGAATAACGTACTGCACATAATTTTAATACTTTAAGCTAAAAATAATTTCTTGGCACTGTTGATAACTCAGGCAGCTACATGTGAGGTATAACTTTCATCAAAATTCTCCAAGGACAGAAGTATTTATTTTCTAATTATTTTGTCATTTTGGATGTTATGGCAACTTTCTAGATTTTTTTTAAAGGTCTGGAGAGCATTTAAATTGTCCAGCATATTTTTAAAGTCTCCTCTGTAAATATCCAATATTTATCCTTGAAATCCATTCAAGGCTATGCCATATTCGCCCCACCCAAAAGACAAAGAAACAACATTTGCTACTCTGTATAACTAGATCTTAGATTTCTTAAGGTCGGGACCTTCTCTTGACTTTTCTTAGAATCCCACATAGCAGTCGCCTAGGGTTTTGCATGCAATAGGTGTTGCTACCAAAGATTTTATTATTATTATTATTATTATTATTATTATTATTATTATTATTACAGGATGTAACTCAGTA